CCGACATTCATGTGAGCGGGGCTACCCGAAATCCAATTTTTTTGTAAATTTGTAATTACTCGAACAATTTTTCACATATAAACTTCTTTCTTTGTGCAAATTAAACTTAAGACTACATACTTTAATGCTGTATGTATAGAAAAAATTATTTTTTGAGTATTAAAATGAATTTTAATCGAAACATTCAACCAATTTTTCTTAATTTCATGACTATTGTATTCAACATATTTTCAAAACTATTGTTTACCATGTTACCAGCTGCATAAATACTTGAAACTTTGAAAATAATCTTTTTTTAATATAACAATTAATGTCCGATGGCCTATTGACTTAAAAAATATTCTATGCATATGAAATGTACAGTGGGAGGGGGTACCCGTTGGGCGGGGGTACCCGACACTCCCCTAGAAAGGAGAATCACTATAGATGTTTTAATGGAATTCATCAAATATAATGGAAATGTTTTATTGTATAAATCTCTTTTAAGATCAACATATACTTGTGAAACCATATCTTGTACGAATGAGGTTAAGTTGGCTACCTTTCAGAGAAGTTTTTTTTTGTAGGAATTTTAAAAAAAAAATGGTGTGTGGCTTAAAAGAGCAAATTTAGAGCTCTCATATAATCAACCTGACATTATTAACTTTATAAAACGACAAAGAATTAAATGGGCAGGCCCCGTTATCAAAATGGGTGAAGACCGTTCCACAAGAAGAGATTCCAATGCAAGATCAATTGACGCACGAAAAAGAGGCAGGCCGAATTTGAGATGGATAGACGGCCTAGAAACTGGAAAACTCTAGTAGGATTTGAGATGGATAGACGGCCTAGAAACTGGAAAACTCTAGTAGGAAAAAGGTTAGTCTGGAAAAAAATACTTCCTGAGAAAGGCTAGGGCCCACCCTGGGCAGTCGAGCCATTGATGAAGTATTATTAACTGTGCTTAGGCAGTAAGTAAGTAGAACCCAATTAAGTTAAAAATGCAAAGAAAACACCGAAAGAAACGAGGGGAAAAACTGAAGAAAAGGAAAAATAAAAAAATAAAAATATTTGAAATTACAAAAAAAAATAAAAATAAACCAAATTAAGAAAAAATAATAACTAAAAAATATTATCTTGTCAGAATTATATCCGTAAAAATAGTACTTTCTATAATTGTATTAATATAGCCTAAGCAAATATCAATATAAGAGTGAGAAGAACAAAGGGGTAAAAGAGAAATTAATTCGAGAGTAAGAGTAAAAATCAAAAAAATTATTTAAAAGTACAAAACAATGCTCAAATCGGAGCATACAAGAAATTAAAAAGCAACTAAAAGAACATATGAAGCATGTACCTAAGAATATCTTTTAAAAATGATTTAGAAATACTATTTTCGCAACTAAATTGCCAGATTTTAAAATATGAAATTAAAGCGTAAATAGCTGGTAGTGGGATATATTTTTAAGTCACGTTCATACTGAAGTAAAGTACTGTATTTGATTTGTCTGTTACTCTGGATTGGCCCGGACTTGCGCAAGGTAATACAGGATGATTTAAAGTTTATAATTAATAAAAAGTAGAATACAACATTTCAATTTTGAGGAGTTTAATAAAAATGAATAATATTGGAAGAGTTTTTTGGTTACTTATAAAATTTTTAGCTTAACTGTACATAGCAAAAACGTCCATCTAGATAACTTTTTGTGTTTCATTTATGTGAATAAACATCCTGAATGAACATCCCTTTTATCGATGGACCCTCAAAATATGTTAAAGTAACAATTATGGAAATAGTTTAATATCCCGTTATTTTACTTTTTGCGTATTTTGCCATATCTCGATAACTTTTAAATGAATCGAAAATTGTTTCTACATAATTATAAAATTCATTTATCCAAGCATAATTCAACACAAAAAATAATTATTAATATTCATTTATTATGTTTTATTATTAGTCTAAGAAAAGATTTATAGCGTTAGGCGTAAAAAGTTTTAACGTCTTTTAAAAGAATTTAATTTTAAAATGCAAAGTAAAAAACTTGAACTAAATCGGTTGAATAGTTTGTGTGAAATCAAATTTTAAAAATACAACTATTTTAAAAGTCGATTATTGAAAAAATATTCTACAGATTGCGTTCAAATTTTGCAATTTGCCTTGAAATATTCCTTAAAATGGTATAAGAAATTTTATACCTTGCAGTTCAAAATTTTTCGATTATTATTAAATAAAATAATAAATAATTAATTAAAAATTATTAACATGGAATTATTTTTGGCCAAATGACAAAAATAAAAAGTTTCATCGATATGACGCAAAAAATAAAATTATCGTTAAAAAGCCCTCCAACTATTGTGACTTCCATATTTTGAGAAATCCTTTTGAAATATCTTCTGCACTAATTAATAAACATCTTTTAAGATTAAACTAAGATTGAGTTAAGTTAAAATTAAGTAATCCAATTCCGTTGTAGAACGATTTAGAGCATTTCTGTGTCTCATTTTGAAACTTAAAATATCCTCTTATTTATAAGCAATATGTTAGGGTAGGCTCTTGAAGAGAACATAAAATTCCGATCATTAGATTAAAACTCATTATCTTCCATATCGAAAGTTAACTTTTTAGATATATTTAAAAAGTATTTACCCTTTTGTTAGAACTTGATTAATTTCCTCTAGAGATTTATTTTTTGTTTCAGGAACACAAAAGAATATAAATATTGCTGCAGCAAAGCATATAATTTCATAAGTCACAAATACTGGTCCAATTCCCATAGCATCTGAAACACATACTAATAATTAGTCTACCCTCTATTGGGATTAGATTGAGTCATATAAATTCATTTTTATTTGCGTTTCAAGAAAGCTTCATCAATGGCTTCTCAAGAAGTTTATTTTAGCTTCGAAGATCTTTTTCTAGCCCATCTGAAATGCCTCTTTTTCGTGATTGCTCGAAACAGCAGTCATAAATCACCGTCTATAAAAATTGAGGCTAGTTTGACTAAAGGAGAGTCTGATTAGAGTCTCAGAGGATCAAAAAGAAACCCTTCGATGACTCCAAAATTAATAAAACTACCGAGTCTAGACTCATTTGATCGTTAAATAGAGAGGTTGGAAATCCTTTTATCATTATGGATTAATAATTTCAGGACTTTATCAAACTATGCCACATCATCATCTCATATGATTTGAATCTGCATCTAGAATGATACACGACATTCTGGTCTGAGATTGATTTACCTAAAAGAAACAGAGGTCCAAGAGGTCGTGGGTTCGATCCCCGTCGGCCGAAGACTCCGCGCGTAGTAAAGAGTGACTGATGCACTTTAAATCTGTAGAGTCACTAAGTCCTCCTTGTCCCCATAACAAATCATACTTCTTGGGGTACTGATCCTGGAGTTTCCTTGTCTTCTGGATTGGTACAAAATTACGAGGCCACGGAGTTGAACATTGGTTGTTGTAAACCCAAAAACTGGGTCGGCTGTTCAACAGCGGATATAAAATATAAGTAACAAAGCAAAAATTTCCACTTAAATTTAACATGGAGTCAATGGTTGGAATTTTGAAATTATAAGTGTGTTTATTTTTATGTTATATAATGTTTTGAATGTTATGCTGTATTAGTGCTAAATATCTACATATTTTGGGAAATAATTAGAAAACTGCGATAGCTGTTATTGGTATAAGTTATTTATGTTATTATATGTCAAATAAGCAATTCATCTTTTGGTAAATAGTTAATTTTCTTACTTAGAAGCTATTTAGAATGGAAAATTTCGCAAACGAATCCATATAATATAAATATTTAAAAAGCTGATCAAAGGTTCGATCGTTCAAAGGATCAAAGTTTTCTGTATCTTGGATCGGAAAAACATAAAGTAGCTATACTATTTGTAAATATAATAGGTGTCTCAATTTCTCCACTCTCTATACTTTCCTCCTCTCCGTGCTTTTCTGCGACCACTATATTTCATAAATTCTTATTGAAGCGTGCTTCTATGGGAAAGATTTGCCAAAACTAGGATAACAGCGAGAGGACTGTTCTATTTGCAAGAAGTATGACAATTCCTTAATTCATTTTAATTTACTATCCCAATTTGTCATTTTTTAGTTTTTCTTTGACATACTTCATAAATTTCTGAGACACTTTCTCTATTTACACTTCATATAACTGAAATATAATTTTTACTGTATTTAATAGATTTTTTAATGTCTATTCGCAATGACTGTTTTCAACAGCAAATATATCTTATAAATCATTTATGTAACTTCTGCTATTTTGAGTTGATAAAAAAAATAATAAAAATTTGAATTATTTAGGTAGATATTTTATAAAATAAAGATCTGTGATATTTTTTGAGAAGATCAAGATTTTTGCCCTTCTATAAAGTTATTTTTAAGGCAAAAATAATTGCCACAAATTATCATTTCTAGTAAGGTCAAAATGAATTATAAACTTTTTAACACATATTACATTACAACTTGAAATTTTTTAACCTCTGTTTTTATACGAAAGTGGTCGAAATTTTGATTGAGGATAAATATTCCTCGTGATAGTATTCAACACACGTTTCCGATAAAAATTATCTAGCACAAATTTCCACCTGAAATTTTTGCGTATTTATTTAATTGGAAAATTGTCTAAAAGATTTCGAAAGTGAAAGGCAGTATAAAGTTTTTCAATAAAAAAATTTATAAAAATATTTATTTGAGAAATAATAATGTCTGCATTTTTTTTATTTCCAATGGCGGGGGGAAAAACAATCAAATAAAACAAAGAAGAGCAAATTTAATAATAGAATATCTCTTTTATCAATCTCGTTCCAGTTTAAAAATGTACCTATAATTAAAATTTTTAAATAAAATTTACTTATATCATAAAATTTTATTTATTATAGTTTTATTCTAAACTCAAATCCTAGTAAAACATAATAATGAAACAAAATAAATTTTTATTGAATGAGATAATAATATTAGGAACCAATGATTTCTCGTCATTTGAATGATTTACTTACATAATTTTTATTATTTATGAAATTCCATTTATTGAATAACAAATTTATGTGTTTTTCATCTCATTTTACGAATCTCAAAGAACAACTTTTTTAAAGATGAAATGGTACTTTATTTACGTCGCACTAGAGCTGCACAATATCCCTGAGGATGATCCATGCCATCGCAACTTCGATCCTCTGTGGATCCATTGCTATGGTAGCCCGACGACCTGCTCTCGAAATCGAGCACTTTACGGTAGAACACTTTAACGAGGATCGACACCGAGCACCCTCGGTCCCTACGCAGGCTGATCAGAGTGGTCATTCACCCGCTTACTGACCTCAGCCAATGATGCTCGACTTCGGTGTTCTACTGGGAACCGCGTCTTTTCGTCCACTGCGGGACTTGAAGATGATATAATTCAATTTTATACTTACTGAGAACATCTAAGAAGGTAAGAGATACAATAATATTGGATGCCCAATTAATGCATGTTGCAACTGAGACAGCTCTGCCACGCACTGAACCAGGAAAGATCTCGCTCAGCACCAGCCATGTAACTGAAAAACAGCAAATATTTTCGTTAAAATTTTTATTAAACTTTTCTAATGGTCACTTAGACATGTAATTATGAAACTTTTTCAAAAGATCTTTTATATTTAGCGATATTTAATATTAATTAACACAAATATTTTAGCAATAAGTAGTTCTTGCTAATTTTATATTAATTTTAATTTCACAACCGTCGTTGAATAGTCGACCCGAATTTAGATTTACGACCACTAACGTTCAACTCCGTAACCTTGTCATTTTGAACCCAATTTAGAAGACAAGGGAACTCCTGGATCAATTATCTGGGGAAATTCGCCTTTCGTGGTGTACTTTTGATGGAGCTAACCTGCATTTGCGTTACATGGAAAGGAAAACTACAAGAACCTCCCATGGTTAGCTGACGGCAAGGGGACTCTAAACCATAATCCGTCTACCACTGAGGATATTTTTCGTCGGCACTGTGGTCGGTGCAAGTCGTATGCTGAATTTGTATCGACCAGCCAACGCTGGGATTTGAACCCGGGTCACCTTATTGGAAGGCGAATGCTCTATTTTAGATTTTGACTTTAAAATTGACTAGTTAAAAAGGAGGAAAAATTTTGTGTACTCATAAATGTTTCGATCATTCTAAAATAAAATATTAATAAGTAATTGTTGAAAAATAATTTTTTGAATTAACGAAAGTAAATGAAATAGTTTGCACACTAGAGCTACATAATGGGACATCCTAATTTTCTTCAGAACAGATCTCATGCCTCAATTTAGACATAAATCTGAAGCACAGGTTTTCATTCAGGGGAGAGTACTCTTCTATCGGCATATTAGGTGGGGTACAGTTTCAGCAATAAAAATGCTTCATTAAATGGAGCCTTCGAATGAGGTGAACAGGGTTCCCCTGGCTCCGACCACAGTGCTGATTTGAAATATCCTCAGTAGTTGACGGATCATGGGTTAGAGTGCTCGTCTCTTCCTCTCCATGTAACGCAAATGCGGGTTAGTTCCATCAAAAAGCCCTCCACTGGATTGGGTTCAAAATTACAAGGCACAATTATTTAGTTGAACATTAGTAGTCATAAACCTAAAAATTGGGTCGGTTGTTCAACGACGGTTATGGAATTATGAAATGGTTGTTGAAAGTAGGAGGTAAATCCTCTTTTGAGAGGTGAACAGATTAATACAACGATATCATCTGCATTCATTAATCATCACCATTGAAGGATTTAATATAAAAATATATTACCTGGACCATAGCTGATGCTGTAGGCACATACAAACACCATAAGAGATATAACTGAAATTATCCTTGTAGAAAAATCAGTTTTTGAGGAATGTTGTAAAGTTCCAACAATGCCTAAAAGAATTATACTCAGAGCCATTAAAACACTTCCAGTTAAAAGTAATGATCTTCGCCCAACCCTATCAACCATTAAAAGAGTAATAATTGTAGCAATCACCTGCAACAAATACATTCATAAGAATTATTAATGCACTTATATTTTCATGTTCTGAGATTGATGATTTGACTCATTTTAAATGTTCTAATTAATTTGATAATTACGAAATCAAACATCATGAAATTGCTGCCAATATTTTGAGGCTTTCCATAGATCCTCAAAATATAGACTGCAATTCGTAAAATAGTAAAATTCCGTCTAAGGCATTTAAAGATAATTAAAAGAATTTCACAAACTGTTGTAAAACTCATTTATCCTTAGATATAAAGTATGATTTTTAAAAATTGCTTATATTTAATGGAAAAACTTATAAATTGTAAAGCGTACAAATTTTTATTTCATTTTAAATTGCGTAATTCTAAATGATATAAATAAAATTATTGAAAAATATAATTATGACAATTATCATTTTCTTACCTGTAATAATATGCATGAAAATTCAAGAATACACTCAGAGAATCTTTCTTGATATATATATATACACACACTGGTGGACAAAATTAAGAGATTGAAGACATTTTCCCAAATATCTCAAAAAATACAGAATATAAATAAATAAAATTTGGCATGGATATAGCTTATTCCCTGATAATAAAGTATACAAAACAAAAATGAAAGTGCCATTCACTGTCAAGACCTATTGTCAATAAATTCAACGTAGTCTGAACTTAAGGATAAAAGATGACAATAAAAGTGAGGCTTGTACAATGTGTGTTGCCTCTAGTATGGTGTATGGTCACCCCTGACAGACAGACAGCATGCACAACGAGTATGCATGCTGTTAATAAAGGAGTTAAGGAGAACTTGTGGAAGACCCTCCCATTCTTCCACCAGAACAATTTTTAACTCCAGCATGGTTCTGGGGGGAGGTTGGAGCGTCGCAATAGCTCTCCCAAGAGCATCCCAAGCAAGTTCAATAGGATTCAGGTCAGGGGATTTGGCTGGCCAATCTCTCTCTAAACATAACATAAGAGAAGAAACATCTTCTATCCAAAGCAAAGATATAACTGACTAAAAACAGAAACGCCCACTTCCTTCTAGCTGAGATAACAGGAAGTGACCCAACTTCCCACAGGAAGTGACACAGCCAAGAGGAAAATACTGCCCATCTATTTGTTTACATTTTTCAACAGTTAGTAAGAGAGTTAAGGAGGACTTGTGGAAGACCCTCCCATTCTTCCACCAGAGCAATTTTTAACTCCAGAATGGTTCTGGGGGGGGGCGCATCGCAAGAGCATCCCAAGCATGTTCAATAGGATTCAGGTCAGGGGATTTGGCTGGCCAATCCATTCGTTAAATATCCTCGCTTTCCAGATACTCATCAACCATGAGAGCCCTATGTGGTCGCGCATTGTCGTCCATACCAACAGGGCCCCTGAAAAGACGCACATAGGGCTCTAGGACCTCCGGGCATTTACGGAGCCATTGTCAAACACATGGAGCGGTGTGCGGGTATCTTGCTTGATCCCTGCCCATACCATGAGTCCTCCACCAGCATAATGGTCCCTTTCGATAATGTTGCTGGGATGGTATCGGGTTCCAGGTTCCCTCCATATCAATAACCGTCCAGAAATAGCGTCATATCGTCATAGAAATGTGCGAAAATGCTTTCCATCTCTTAATTCTGTCTACCAGTTTATAGATTAGGGGGAAAGCAATGTCGTTTGGGTGCATTTGATATTTGTTATCAAGATTATTTTTAATCACCCGCAACAACCCTTCTATGCTGGATGAATATATTTCTTAGGATGTCTCTAACCGCAAAAATTTTTCAGTGACAGACGGTGTTTTTGGCGATTCAAATATAATATTAATTATTTGACTTTTTTAACTTTCGATAACCACGAATCTCTTCCCATGCCGTCCATTGAGAACAATTCAAGCACTTCTTGGCAATAGAACTGGGAGATTCGGCTTTAACAAAAAAGGTGAGAAAAATGCTTCTCACTTTAAGGGAACAAACACTTATTTTATGATATCTATGTGGCAATAAATGTATAATATTTTAATTTTATTTTTAAACCGTTATTGAACTAATGTTTTAGGTTTACAGCTACTAATGTTCAACTCCGTAGCCTTGTAATTTTGAATCTGATCCCGAAGACAAGGGAACTCCTGGATCAAGTATTGGGAATTTACTTTCGTGGAGGATTTTTTGAGGGAACTAACCAGAATTTGCGTTTCATGGAGTGGAAAACCACGAAAACCTCCCACGATTAGCCTCACAGCAAGGGGACTCTAACCCATAATCCGTCTACCACTGAGGATATTTTACGTCAGCACTGTGGTCAATGCAAGCCGGGTGGGGAAATCGTATCAACCAGCCAACGCTGGGATTCGAACCTGGTGAACCTCATTGGAAGGTGAACACTGTATCCCCTGAGCCATCACGGCCCCTGATAATATTTCTTTAAATAAGAGGGAAAAAACTTTTCTTTTTTTTTAAAATCATTTTGTTCAGTTCTCTGGAATCTCTCAGTCGTAAGACAGCAGTTTTTTTTAAAAAAAATGATTTTGTTCTATTCTCTGAGTCGTAAGAAGCGTTATGGCCTTCATAAATACTGCGAATAAATTAACTTCCATCAATTAACAAAAATGGAACAAACTTATTTTAAATTAAGTCCATGAAATACCAGAGAAAAGAAGAAGAAAATTTATGGATGTACGTAATTGAATATTTTTGAATTATTTTTTTTTTTACTGTCACAATAATTATTAGAAATGACAAATTAAAAATTGAAGCGATTCATTCAATTTAATTGTAATCTAGAATAAATCTTTAAACAAAGCTTTTATTTTTTACAAATAAATAAGTATATTTTAAGGAAAAAATCATTCATTTTTAAGTTTCAACTCAATTCGAACGTACTGTGGTTTTTTTTAAATATAATTTCAGAATATGAAGAATGTATGATAATTTTGAAGAGCGAATTTTGTATTTTGCCATATAAAATTATCTTCTTTGAAATAATGAAATAAATTGTATACCTTACTACTCAAAATTTTTTCAACCATTATTAAATAAAATAATAAATATTTATTATAAGTTATGTTTAGTTAAATGAATTTTATAATTTTTAGAAAAAGTTTTTCAATTCTCTTAAAAATTTCCTGAGATATAGGGAAAAACTCAGAACGTGAAGATTTGATCATTGGATTAAAAGTTATTCAGGGTGGTCCTTTTTTTGTGCACTGTACATCTCCATTTATCAACTTTAGTTCATTGATCTATTAATCTTTCCTTTTTTTGTAATTTATTGAATTTAAACTTACTGTAAGCTTCCAGCATGCATATGATTATTTCAACAAGGAGTAGTCCCATCGAATGCAATTTTTGGAATAGTTATTACAATTCTTTATGAATGAAAAAAAATGATATTTTAAAGTAGCATTTATTCTGTAACATTTGCTTGAAGAGTCACTAAAGGGTTGCTTATGACATATACAAACTTCAATTGTGTTATCAAATCAATGTATATCATGGAATATTTCAGAAAAGGTCCGTTGTCACAAAATACTTTATTGTTAAAACAGACGCTTCATAAAATTTTTTATCTTAAACAAGAAACCACCTTAAAATTTGCACACTATTTTTTTCCTCAATATCATCATCACAATACCCTCCTAAAAAGAACACACATCAACAATAGCAGAACTTTAGCTGAAAGAATTCGATTTGATGTTTATTTTGGATACACAAAATTAGGAGCAGATTTTTTATAATTTCATAAACCTAGGACACGAAAAAAATCTGGAATGACCCCTACTAGTTGATATTTGAATGGAAAAGAAATTATTAAATATTGTATAAATACATTAACTAATTTCGAAAGTTCATTTAAAGAAGATCCCATAAAATTGTCAAAAACCCTTTTTTTATCAGAAGCTTATTTGACAACATTTTATTGTATTGCAAGCTTACACTGAAATCCAAGAAAGGTCGAAAAATTGAAGTGTTTGTATTAATGGGATTCATAATTTATGTTTAAAATTATTAAACGTGTTTCAATGTAGTAAAGAACTTAATACGCTTAACAGAAGCTGCATTAATAAATCTAAAATTAAAGTAATTTATTGTAATATTTCTATCGCTAAATCTCACGTCTAAAAATCTATATCGAGCAGTTCCTTCCAAATTCATTCATGTACTATTTATTGTAATAACACGTAATAAATTTGCTCGCAATTATAACTTGTAAAATATTTTTTTCCATCGAAAATGTGTTTTTATGCAGTTTTACATTTCTACAGTTGTACTCGGTATTCAGAACGGGCCGGGAAAAGAATTTATTTTTTACCGGGAACCAGATGGGTATTAAATAAAATTTTTACTGGTTACCCGGAAGCCGGGAAAAAATTTGGACCCGGTACAATTCTAGTTTAAACGAATATTAAATTAATTAATATAAATAATAAATTTATAAGAAAAAATATTTTTGACGACTTTTCTTCGGATAAACGAGTTTCTTGTTTAGTTCCAGGGATCTTTTACCTTAGCTAACGGAAGCATATTTTTCATCTGCCTCCAATTTTCTTGATTTTTTCTTCTTTTTGTTCCGGAACTATGTGATCCACTCCACACAGTTGCATAGTTTAGGAAAATTAAAAAATTCTTGCCCTATATTCAAAACTTTTTCGATCATTAAACAACTAATTAATAAAAAGTAGTAATTAATTATTACAAGTTATTTTTTGTATGAATGTAAATTTTATTGGCTTCCAAAAATTGAGCTTGGTTCACTTGAATACCCAAAATGTAATATTAGGACTCTGGTTATATTTTTGGGAAAATATTTTGAAGAGCCCAGATGTCTCTGGGGATAAGGCGTTGGTCTTCCAATGAGGTGAACCGAGTTCGAATCCCGGCGATGGCTGGTCGTCCGGCTTGCACCGACCACGGTGCTGGCGTGAAATTTCCTCATGGGTTAGAATCTCCTTGCCGTCAGGCTACCATGGGAGGTTCTCGTGGTCTTCCTCTCCATGTAACGCAAATGCGGGTTAGGTAAATCAAAAAGTCCTGCACAAGGGCAAAATTTCTCACAATACTTGATCCAGGAGTTTTCTTGTTTTCTGGATTGGGTTCAAAATTACAAGGCTAGGGAGTTGAACATTAGTAGTCGTAAACCCAAAAATAGGATCGGCTGTTCAACGGCGGTTATAACATATAAAATTATAAAACATATTTTTAAAAAATCCTTCGTCTTATTTCCTACCGTTCGAGCTGTCTTCTGAAAATTCCAGCACTATTAATAATTCAAAACACTATTAATAATTCAATAGTTCATAACACTTTTATAAATCATCTATTCACAAAATAGAAAAATGTCTTAAAAAGAGCGCCTGTTTCTTTTTGTGTCTAATAATTAAACACTAATTAATTCGAAAATGCTGAGTAAATTCTTCAAAACAAAAGATTACAATTTAGCATGCAAAAGATAGTTTCCCCTCTTTGAAGCCCTAATTGTGTGACGTCATACATATCTATCGAAAGGCCACTCCACTAACAATTCTTCAATTAAATTTTAGCATTTCTATTTTAACAAAATTAAATATGAGTTACTTATAAATGAGGTCGAAACTATTATCTTTTTATTAAAGTTTATGCATGCTAACCATATTGACTCTTTTAGAAAGCTTCCAAAATGACTCCGAGATCTGTAAGTCGGGCTCTGGTTATTCGAATAAGAAAAAGAAGTAAGTCGACTCTTTTAGAAAGCCTCCAAATGGCTCCGAGATCTGTAAGTCGGGCTCTGGTTATTTAAATAAGAAAAAGAAGCAAGTCGACTCTTTTAAAGAGCTTCCAAATGACTCCAAGATCTGTAAGTCGGGCTCTGGTTATTTGAATAAGAAAAAGAAGTAAGTCGACTCTTTTAGAAAGCCTCCAAATGGCACCGAGATCCGTAAGTCAGGATCTGGTCATTTGAAAAAAAGAAGTTCATTTATAGTTTTCTTACCATTTTAAGTAGATAATTTATTTTTACTGTAAAAAAAATTAAGTCCCTTTTATTAAACAGTAATGTCTTGACTATTTGAGAAATTGAATGCAAAAGGGTTATACCTTAACAATTCCTAGACCAACAGAAACAAGCGTAGCTGAAGTATCTGTGCTGTATCCGAAATGTTGAAACACAGTCGGTGCATAGTATAACACATTAGCATTACCTGAAAACTGACAATAATCATTTTAAAAAATACATAATTTCAATATTTTATCATGAATGAATTATGATGCTACATTGAACTTTACATCCTATAAATTGTCTCTTTTATGCTTTCAATTAAACTCTGATAGACGCCATGTTATTAGATGATGTTAAAACACTTTCTTAGCAGCAAAATAACTTGGGTTCTCATTGGGCTTCTACTCAATAAGGGTTTAAAGGGCCTTTCTTATATTGACCTATATGGAACTTTCCGATTCATCCGATATTTTACAGTCACTTTACAACCAATATCGGTCCTATATAGAATTGTCAGATTCATCCGATATTTTAGATCCATTATTTAGATAATGTAAGCTCTATATTGTCCGATATAGGCCTTATATAGGCTATTCAATATTAAAAAAATCTGGACATCCCAATATTAGTCCCTCGATGCATGTTCTTATAGGACCCATATTGAGCCAATTTTGAATCCAACTAGGGCCAAGGTAAAATTGTTGCATCGAGAATCTGTTCTTTATCCAGAATTACATTTCAGACATTTTTAAATTATGTCTCAAATTATTTCTCGCCAGATGATTTTGTTGCATTTGTGACAATCATAAAACGTAATTCTAGAAATCAACTAACAATCAGGGAAAATTATTTCTTGACAGATTATTTTGTTGCATTTGTGACAATTATAAAACGTAATTCCAGAAATCAGCTAACAATCAGGGAAAATTATTTCTTGACAGATTATTTTGATTCATTTGTGACAATTATAAAACGTAATTCTAGAAATCAACTATCAATCAGGGAAAATTATTTCTTGCCAGATGATTTTGTTGCATTTGTGACAGTTATAAATCAACTAACAATCAGTGAAAATTTTCAGTTGTGGTTTCAGAAAAAAATAGTTTTACGAAATAGTGTTACTGTGAAACAAAAACAGTGGAGTGTCGCTTATCCGGATACCAATTAACCAAATTATCCGATTTAATGGATTTACCGGGTCTGCAAAAATCCAGGTTTATCTTCAGTTTCTTTGGAGGGATCCTCTTTTTTCCGCTGATGTCTTTGGTAAAAAGATTAATGTAGAAAGTAAAATTAATTTTTTTGAAAGAAGCGGTTAAAATTTCTAATTAACTTTGGAATAATTAAATTAGAATATTTATTTTAAATTTTTTTTGTAAGAAAAAATAACCAAACTGTCTTTTTATATAAAAAAATTTTTTTGTGATTATTATTTTAAATAGGCAGCTCGATGCCAAATGACATAGATTTTACGATTCCATCTTCGTTTAAGTAAAGTTACTTTTCTCGTTAGGTAAGATTATAATTTCTTAAAGTAAGAATAAAATCGCAGTCGCTGACCGAATTATTATTACAATTGCTAAATGGTTATTTGTTTTTAATTGTATCAATGCAAAGTCCCTGGCCAAATTATTAGACCCGCTATTAGATTCTATGTAAAATCTTAATTATCATGTGATACGCTATACAGCTTTATTGTTTTTACGAGACTGTTCACACTTGTTTACGTTCGTGTATCAGTTGGTTAAATTAGACGATATATAGCAAAAATTCGACGATTGGATAAATGAGACGATATATCATATAAATATAGGATATTTATATATATATATATAGGATATTTATATATATATAGGATATTTATATAAATATAGGATATCGGGTATTATATTATTACATTATAATAGTTAGACCAAATTAATAGATAATTAATAGAATAATAGATAAATTAATAGAATAATTTTCTGATGATTTTTATTGATTTTCTTTTCGTAATTTGTTTATTCTTTTGAATGTATCTTGTTTTTCCTGGACCACTATACAAAACCATCGGGGTACCGAGGGAGATATTTTAAGCTTTTGCTTCTCCCTCAAATAGAAATGGTTTTGTTTTTAATGGCTACCGGGGCCGGTACCCCCTGAAGACGTCGGCTTCGGTGGTCATATTTTTATTTTATTTTATTTTATTTAATTTGTTTTGTACCAAATTAATAGACGCACTGTAGTTTTTTTAATGATGACATGTTTTGCAAGAGTTTACAGGCAATACTTTTATATTTAAACCTACATGTAATGGGTTTTTATTCGGGAGATTAGTTCATTTTCGTATTTAGTATTGCATTACAATGTTAACCAATTGATACACGAACGTAAGCAAGTGCAAACCGCGAAAAAAGACAATAGAGTTGTCACTTGATAATAAAGATTTTACATAAAATTTTACAGTGCGTCTAATAATTTGGCAAGTGACTGCATATTTGAAATAAAATACTGCTGTAATGTAAGTAAATTAATATAATTTTCTTACGAAAAATGATTTTCTTGTAGTTTTATGGTCTATTCTGATCCAATAATTTTTTGCCATCTTTCTGGCAGTGACATGATTCTATGCTTCCGGCAAAGAGAGGATTTTTGACTTTCGATACCGTCTAAAACATTCATTACAGACCGGAACAAGACGACTCGAAAATGGTGCCTTTTTTAGCGTTGGAGGATTGATTTATGATCGATCATGAGGAGCAAATGATCGAACTAATTCGATAAATTTAATCTCTCAGAGATTAAATTTATCGAATTTGCATCAATTAATCTTTTATTGTGTCTTCCAAAAAGTGGAGCAAATACGACATCAAAATTGCCGTATGCAAATTTTGAAAAACTGTTTTAACACTGTCAATTCATCTTATTCGTACGTATCAGATAATTAATTTATTTTAGCTTGAATAGCGTTTTTACTTTTTCGATTGTAAAAAAGTAAAATATACCTGTTTTTCACTTTCCTCATATGAAAGAACCAAAAATTATTACCTACAATCAATCGAATTCTTTCTATATCAGTTGTCAAAATATATAATGATTAAGCGTGAAAAGGTTATAATTTTTAAGAAAATTTATCCAAAATGTCGGTACAAATTAAAAATTGCTTCTCTCTAGTATTTTCTATCGTAGAATGAATGTGATTGTCTTGTTTATTTAAAACCCTGTCATAAAAAGAGACATTACCTGTTGAAGAAAGACTAGTGTCATGCCAAGAAACATTCTACTTCTCATATTAAATGCAGATCTGAAGAGATCTTTATATGTGAAACTCTAAATAAGAAAAAAACATTATGAGTCTCCTTTATTATTAATTTAAAAGAAGAATGCAAACAAATTATTAAAAGAGCCTAAATTATCACAAATTATTTTCATTTGTATATTTTAAAATTTTCTTTTCAGTATCTCAAATTTCATGGCTTACTCTAGTATAGCTGCCAACATGGATAGGAATAATAGATTTTTCGAAATAGTACATATTTCATGAGAAATGTACTAAATATTTTACATATGGGAAATTTTGGGGATTTTTAAATTATCAAAATTTATTTTCATTTGTATATTTTAAAACATTCTTTTCAGTATCTCAAATTTCATGGTTTACTCTAGTACAGCTGCCAACATGGATAGGAATAATAGATTTTACGAAATAGTACATATTTCATGAGAAATGTGCTAAATATTTTACATATGGGAAATTTGGGGGATTTTTAAATTATCAAATTTTATTTTCATTTGTATATTTTAAAATTTTCTTTTCAGTTTCTCAAATTTCATGGCTTACTCTAGTACAGCTGCCAACATGAATAGGAATAATAGATTTTGCGAAATAGTACATATTTCATGAGAAATGTACTATATTTTACATATGGGGAATTTTGGGGATTTTTATAGTCATCAAAATAGAAAACTGCAATATTTTTCATTTATGATTGACTTCAAATGAATTTCAAAATGTATTATGTTTACTCATAGTTTTGAATAGTAATAGGCATTTAATTCTTTAAATATAGTTAAGACTTTTTAATTAATTTAAAAAGGGAAAAAGAACATTTTAGAACAAACAAAGAACTGATTTCTATAAATAAGGCTCTCTTCATCATGTATTTAAGTATTCCAGCAAGCAATAATCTGTGCAAAAATGCTATTTCAATAGAGATTTTTTATGACACTGACAAAATTTTAAGAAATTTTCTAAAAATGTACGAAAACCAGGAGAATATTTATGGCAGAGTTGGCAACTATGCTCTAGGTCTATCTGAACTCACTTTAAATTAGTAATGAAGAAAAAAGAGGTATGGAGTCCTCTTAAGAGGTGAAGAAACATGTGGTCTACCAGAAATAATAAAATTTCTAATCTGACTATAATAACAACAATCTTTTCGCAGAACTATCTCAGCATTCATTTCTAATCTAAATAAAAATTTGAAATATTTCTTTAATTTAGTTTTATGACCAGATTTTTGTGTGAGAGAAAAGTATTTATTGAAAGGAAATAATTATTTCAATCCTAAACTGCAGAGCCGATAATCCAAAATTTCGAGAATTTTTTTTATAATAAATAGAAAATTGTTCGTAAGAATTGAATACATAAATAAATCAACTATAAATAAATATTTTAGACAAAAATCTAAAAGTGAACTAAAAAAAATGCGTGAAGGGCCCCACTAACTCAGAATTTGTCGCTTATTTTCTAGAATTGTTCCTTGTTAAAAATTCATTAAAAAATAGACAAATCCTTATATTATACAATTAATAGTATACATCTTTGGAAAAAAATTACAGCTACAGTAACAGTAAATATTTAAACAAATACCGATTCAATGCCATTTAAAATTTTGACGCCAATATGCCGGGCTTTGACCTTTAAACTTTTTCTTGGATTTATGCACAACACGTTTGCCGCCGCGTGATAGTCACTATTGTTGTTGTTGTTGTAGTTCATTTACATCGCACTAGAGCTGCACAATGGGCTATTGGCGACGGTCTGGGAAACATCCCTGAGGATGATCCGAAGACATGCCATCACATTTTTGATCCTCTGCAGAGGGGATGGCACCCCTGCTTCGGTAGCCCGACGACCTGCACGCAAAGTCGAGCACTTTACGGTAGAACAGTTTAACGAGGACCAATACCGCACACCCTCGGTCCCTACGCAGACTGATCGGTGAATGCTGGGAACCGTGTCTTAAAGATCAGTCCACTGCGGGACGTGATAGTCACTAAAGAGCGTGTTAAAATATGAGTGCTTCAGCTCATTATATGTATTCAAAACATGACATGTATTTTGTCTGGCATTTTTCGAGCTAGGGTATTAAGTTCACTGTTCCACGGTTCACTGCACCTTCATTATAACTTAAGTTCACTAAAGTTCACTAAACCTCGAAATAAAATTTCGGGGGTTTTCATTTTAAAGCTAATAAAAAGAATCACATTTTGATTCAAGACACAAGTTTTAAAATTTTTTAAATTGAAGAAAGAATTTTATCGAAAAACCTACAATTTTGTAAAGATTTTTTTTTTCTTAAGATTTTATGAATGGTCTTTAAGTTAGTTGTTAATATAAAGAGTAAAAGTTTTACCTTTTGTTCGCTCATGGATTTAAGAATGGCTTCCATCTCTTCTTCCACGTTCTCAGATTTTCTCAAATGAATCAGAACTTCACGTGCCTGCAAAGATAGAATTCTTTCACACAATTCTGCTTATTTGTTTCGTTAATTGTTAAATATTAATGGTCAATCCCTAGAATTCTTCTTTCTAGGTAAAATCGAAAATAAATGTTGTGACTATGAAAACATAATGAAAACAGTATTATTATTTCAAATCATGTTTGAAAGTAATACACATGGTGACCAAACCTTATAAGAATGTCTGCGCACGGCTCTACGCATACTATGAAATATATTCTTTCCTAATAATTCATACCAAATGTTAAATCTATTTTATACTTCAGATATTTTATTTTATAACCGTCGTTGAGCAGCCAACGCAATTTTTTGGGCTAACAACTACTAATGTTCAATTCCGTAACCTTGTCATTTTGAACCCAATCCAGAAGACAAGGAAACTCCTGGATCAAGTATTGGGAGAAATTTGCCTTCGTGGAGGGCTTTTTTTGATGGAACTAACCCGCATTTGCGTTACATCGAGGAAAGACCATGAGAACCTCCCACGGTTAGTCTCACGGCAAAGGGACTCTAACGCATGATCCGTCTACCTCTGAGGATATTTCACGTCAGCACTGTGGTCGTTGCAACCCGGATGTGGAATTCACATCGATCAGCCATCGCTGGGATTCGAACCCGGTTCACCTCATTGGAAGGCGAACGTTCTATCCCCTGAGTCATCCTTTTTTTTATATTCGTTGTTGATCAGTCGACCCAATTTTGGGTTTACGACTACTAATGTTCAACACCGTAGCCTTGTAATTTAGAACTGAATCCAAAAGACAAGGAAACTCCTGGACCCTCAGAGGTATTGATTTGTTATCAGAACTTTGAGACTCGACAGATTTAACGTGCATCAGTCACCATTTTACTACACGGGGCGCTTTGAAAAGTGACGGAAGTGTTGCTCATTTTGCATTGTCTGGTGAGCACCTTGTGTCATGGAGACGAGCAATATTATCCACGCCACAGATACCCGTCCATAGAGCAGGCTACATTCACATATCACACACAACAAAGGGCAGCACACCGAGAGAAACACCCTTGCTCTGAGCTGGATTCGAACTCGCAGCCATCGGTCAGGTACGCTAGCCACTCGGCCACCAGGCCAGTCTACCTCAAAGGTAATCTTACCGGTGGCCGTTTGCCTTGTAGTCCATTCGCCCAGCTGTCACATGTATACACGATGATCGTATCGGCGCAAATAAGGCTCAATGCGTGATTCGATAAAAATGCCTTTCATAACCATGTAGCAATAACCATAGAAAAATAATTTTCGATGAAAATTGTGAGCAAAAAAGTACGGTAGGGTGACTCTCATTTTTAATATTGATTAAAATGCTTATTTCTTTTTGCTTGCATTTTCACATTTTTATTTATATTGCTTAGCTCTTTTCCTTTTTGATTGTGTATATATACATATCCTTGTAAAAAAGTTTCAGAAAAATATACACTAGGGGTGGGAAATGAAGAGAGAAATGAAATAAAAGTTGTATTAATATGAATAATTGAATGGAGAAAAATTAAAAGGTCTCACTGAAAAGAAAAAAGAAAACTGGATTATTTTCTGTTGACCTTCAAAAATTGAATGGAATTTAAAATATTCTTTCGGATAAACATGGATTCCCAAGATTAAATATAATACTCACTTTTTGTATTTGCCCTTTTGCAATCAAATAATGATGGCTGCTGGGCATAAATGCTACACCAATTCCTTGCAATATTGCTGGTAAAATAGCTACCCCAAACATCCATTTCCTAAAAAGAAAAGATCATTTAGCTACACATAAAATAAAGAATCTTCATTTGACATCCGTGAAAGTCAGAATTTATATCCAAAAAAAATAATCAATAAAAAATGCGTGTGATGGATAAAAACATATACAAAGCTTTCCATAAAGTCTTATTAAAAATGATGTTCCCAAATTGATGGAGGAAAAACAAAATCTGAGATATCGAGAATTAGACAGGACAGGTTTGATGGAGCCGCGATAGATCTGCGGATGGAGCCCCCGTAGGAGATAGAACCCCCGTAGCGAATAGGAGATGGAGACCCGATTCACCTCCCAATGAGGTGAATCGGGTTCGATTTCCAGCGATGGCTGGTCGGTACAAATCCGCATTCGGCTTGCACCAACCACAGTGCTGACGTGAAATATCCTCAGTGGTAGACAGATCATGGGTTAGAGTCCCTTTGCCGTCATACTATCTGTGGGAGGTTCTCGTGTCTATCTCTCCATGTAACGCAAATACGGGTTAATCCCTTCAAAAAGTCCTCCACGAAGGTAAATTTCAATACTCGATCCAGGAGTTCCCTTGTCTTCTGGATTGGGCTCAAAGTGACAAGGCTATGGAGTTGGAACATTAGGAGTCGTAAACCCAAAACATAGGGCTGTTCAACGTCGGTTATAAAATGTATAATAAAAGACTTGTGGGAGGAAGTAAAGACCATTATTAGAATCACAATTCATCATCTGTTTTTACTTTCGCATAACTCAACTGTAAGTTGACAGATTTTATAACGTTTTTGTTATTTCTTCACTTATATTTTAGTTTGTGATTCCTAACCTTTTCATTTTTGGTAAGGATTCTGAAACTGCATATTAAAGGCTGTCCTTAATAAACACCATCTTTAAGGAGTTAATCACCATAAAAACTCTTTATAGAACACCATGTTTACAATGAAATTTTTGAGTGCTTTTTACTATCAATGCATGCATACTATAGACTGGGTGTTCCGAAACGACCACTTTTCATACGTATTTTTACTATCTTCGTAAAAAATGAAGATAAAATGTATTTGGGATCACCAATCGATATTTAAGCAAATAAAAAAAAACTATCCGGCAAAATGTAATTAAGAAATGAGGGGTTTCGAAAATATTTTCAAACAGTTCTAAGCGATTATTAGATCCAAGTTGAAACAAACAAGTCTAGCAAATAAAATAAAAATTGCTGGAAAAATTATTATTTTTTAGAAATTCTAAACACGAATCAGCATTCTGAACACCAAAAAGTTTTACCTGGAAACAAAATTGTTTTCTGGTTTTTGATGGTATGTCTGAAAAGTAGAGAAAATTAGGAAATAATGTCGATTAATGGAGAGAATAATTAATAGAAATTCTCTTTTGTGTAATATATATCAAATATATCTACTCCCCGTAAAACCATAAATTAACTCTACAAAGCTTTCTTTCCTAAAATCTAGGGTCTTAATAATTTTTGATTTCTCATCTTGAAGTTTTACCGATAAACCACGAGTTTTTACTCCTCTTTTTTTAAAATTTTTATGCAAATGAAGTTCGGAATGCAAGATTTTTTCCCACAATGTCAGATTTTTACTTAAGAACAAAAATAGTTCTCAAACTCGAGTTCATTTTTCTCCTGAAATCATAAATTTTAGAGACCTTTGTAGTTTTGTTATTTTAGAGACTTTTTTAAGTAATCACACCTTAGAATAAGTTGCTTAGATGAGAAATAAAAGTTTACGCAAAATAAAAAATAATAATCTAACGCAGTAAAAAATGATTTTTGAAGTTTGACAAGTTTACCTTTTTTCCAATAAATTATATGCAAAGTTTCCTCAATGGGGATTTCCCTTTCAGATTTAGCGTCCAGTAGTATTATGTTTGATTTCTTTATCTACGCATATCTCTTGAGACATCTATATTTGTTACACATTATTCAGTCGCGATAACACAGGGTATAGAGCGTTCGTCTTCCAATGAGGTGAACCGGGTTCGAATCCCAGTTATGGCTGGCCGAACGATACGACTTGCACCGACCACAGTGCTGACGTGAAAATATCCTCGGTGGTAGACTGATCATGGGTTAGAGTCCCTTTGCCGTCAGGCTCACCGCGGGAGGTTCTCGAGGTCTTCCTCTCCATGTAACGCAAATGCGGGTTAGTTTCATCAAAAAGTCCTTAACCTAGACAAATTTCTCCTAATGCTTGATACAGGAGTTCCCTTGTCTTCTGAATTGGGTTCAAAATTACAAGGATTCGGAATTGAACATTAGCTGTCGTAAACCCATAAAATTGGGTCCGCTGTTCAACGACGGTAATAAAATATTCTAAGACAATTGAGCCACGTATTAGGATGTTAAATTGTGGTTAGGTCAATCTTTGACAGATTTTACTGATGAAATTGTTGATAGGCCTTGTTGTTTTTGCAGCTTGAGAAAAGTGAGAAATAGTCGCATTCAAAAAAACAATGATAGCACCATTCAATATGACAGTCGTAAATGTAAACAATAAGAAATTTCTCCTAATAATTTTTGATTTGTCTCGTATAGCATTCGGATATCTTAAAAGACTTTCACAAAATTTTTTTCGTTTGGTTCTTTTCCCTTTAGATAAAACCTAGAAAGACGTTTTTGACTAAACTGATCATAAATATGAATGTGTTTTAATTCTTCAAGTACTTTCAATGTTAAATATTGCACAGATAACTGTAAAATGATAAGAAACACAGCCTTCCATGAATGACATATTTCTTGAATCCATAATTGATATCCATTTTTAAAGCAACTGTCCTCTATCATTCATTAAACGGTAATGGATTTATTTAATGACTCGATCCTAAAAACATCAATAACTATAACATAATTGGGACTAAAATGGCAAAACTTATCATTGCGTTGGACTCTGTTATTAAGTTTTCAAAAACATTGAATGGTAAGCCATTCCAAGTCAAAAATTTCGATGGTTTTCCATTGATGGACCAGCATAATCTTGATGGTTATCATCAATATTTCCAACATGAGCCATTATATTTCTGATGGTAACCAACATACATCCCCCTAATGTTAGGATGATGGCAACCATCACCCTAATGTAGTAATTCGTACTGATTTATGATGGACCAACATAAGAATGGTAACTTGTTTTGGTGGTTTGTACATGTTAAACCCTCACGTTAAACCAAATTTTCATCATAGTTTCTTAGAAATCCAATGTTGGAAAGAATTCGAGAAACCATCATCCCAATGTAGTAATTGTTACTGATTTATGATGGGTCAACATAAAGAAATTGTTTTGATGGTATATTCCAGAGAATAAACAAGAATTCCCATTAAACCATCATGAAAATGTATAGCTGGAACCAAAATGAACCATCATGAATTTTTGGTCCATGAGAATCATACTTCTCTTGATGGTTAACCATCATAATATTAAAGAAGCATTTTCCATCATGGAATTATGGAAGTTTGATGGCATATCAAAAACCATGAACGCATAATGGAAAAAATTAGATGATGGTGACCATCAAATGACGTTGGACCATCTTGAATCACACTGAAACCAACATAAGCCATCAAAATGTTTTGATTTGGGATTTCACAGAAACAAGCTTAAAATCTTCTTTGTATTACATATTTCTTGAGCGTCGAATCAATAATCGATTGAGCTGTCAATTTTAAAAGCCATTCATTGAATTTTGGAATTAATGGTCAATTGAAATACTGATTATGTTCCTTTATTTCACTGTCTTGTTCATTTTTTACTAGAAATAGGGAAACAACTTGGAGAATAGAAAGAGAGGCAAATGTTATCAATAAAATTTTGTACTCTAAATAAATTTGATATACAATATACAGACCCTGGCCAAATTATTCGATGCACAATTAAATTCTAAACTGCTGTTTGTAGAAAATGCAACACCATGAAGGAATCATCAGAATCAAATGAAATTCGCAGCAAATGTCAATTATAGGATATTATGCAAATTAATAAAGTTTCAGAGCCATCGCGCGTGCGTGGCGCGCGCAGCGCCCTCTGAATTGATGCTGAAANTGACATGCCATCAGAATGATATACCGAGCTTTCAACAAGAAAACAGTTAAAGATACAATTTTCCCAACATATTTCCCGGAGAAAAAAAAACTCGGTTGTAAAATGCGGATTCGTGTATAGAAAATATATAAATATAAAAAGATTCGTTTAAACATTAATTTGACTTTCTTACCAACCATTTTTCATGGAAATAAATATATAATTCATAAGATATGCTATTAGAAATCCAGTTGTTATGCCCACTTCGTTAAAAGATACCATCATGCCTCGGCAACTCTACAAAAAATTCAATTGTAGTTAATAAATACATCAAAAAACATCAATAGTCCTTTTATTTCACACCAATCAGTTAAAAGTGAGCAAAAATATTTATATTAATAAAACTCGAAAGAATATCATGTTTAACGAAAGAATATAATGTTTAAACGACACTGATAAGCAGGCTTGGTCGATTATCTCTAGAACTACTGGACTGATTTTAATGAAGTTTGATGTGTACATACATTAATAAAATACATAATAAATAAACATTTAACAATTGTAAAACACACGCATGATCGTGCGTAGCACTCGTTGCAGTAGAAAGGCATAAAACTGCCACAGAACAATAGCCACAGGAAATGATGAACTGCCTTATTTCAAATATGAAATCACGCTGCAAGACCTGTATATCAGTAAGAGAGGATCATACCCCCGATTAACTCATTTTTGTTGTTGTTTATTTTGCAACCTCTGTTTCATACCTTCTGTCTCCAACGAATGTTACGCACGTTCATGCGTGTGTATTACAATTGCTAAATGGTAATTTGTTTTTAATTGTATAAATGTAAAGTCCCTGCCCAAATTATTAGACTCACTATTAGATTCCATGTAAAATCTTAATTATCATGTGATACTATACAGCTTTATTGTTTTGACGCGACCGAAACCGGTTTACATTTGTTTACATTAGTGTATCAATTGGTGAAATGAGACGATATATAATATAAATTCGATGATTGGATAAATTAGACGATAGATTATATGAATACAGGCTGTTTATAAAGTCCCGGACCCATTTTGATGTTTAATAACTCATAAAATAATAAAGATAGATTAAAAGTAATAACATAAATGGTTAGATAGACTCAAAAAGTTTCATGACCCTTGTCAATGAACTTCCTCGTGTGAAGAACTACGAACGAAAACTTCGTATTTCCGCAACTAGAAGAGCTTCAGCCACATGTCTTTTTGCAACAAGATGGTGCACCTCCTCATTGGGGTATCATCGTTCGTAGTTCTTTGAATGACCATTTTCCAGGAAGATGGATTGGGCGAGGAGGTCCAATTCCTTGGCCACCCAGATCACCCAATATAACGCCGCTGGACTTTTTTCTTTAGGGATTTATAAAGGACAATGTTTTCAGGAGGATCGTGTCGAACATTGATGACCTAAAAGCCAGAATTACAACCGCAATAGCCTCTGTGGATGCCGACATGCTTGCCGCTACCTGGCGTGAAATTGACTATCGACTTGATATTCTCCGTGCGAGGAAGGGGGCACACGTGGAAGTTCATTGACAAGGGTCATAAAACTTTTTGAGTCTATCTAACCATTTATGTTATTAATTTTTATCTATCTTTATTATATTATGAGTTATTAAACATCAGAATGGGTCCGGGACTTTATAAACACCCTGTATAAAATATTTATTATACCAGGTATTATATTATTATATTGTAATAATTAGATCAAATTAATAGACGCGCTGTAGTTTTTCAATAATGACATGTTTTGCACGAATTTATACGCAGTACTTTTATATTTAAACATACATGTAATGGGTTTTTATTCGGGAGATTTTTTGTATACTTCCTTTCTGTATTTATTTTTAACGTATTGCATTGCAATGTTAACCAATTGATACACGAACATAAAACAAGGGTAAACCGGTTTCAGTAGCTTAAAAACAATAAAACTGTATTATATCACCTGATAATTAAGATCTCGTCTAATAATCTTGTAGAGAACAAAGTGTAGTTTCACCAATGGAGGAAATGTATGGAATACTTACAGGTGGAGATATCTCTGAAATGTATGTACATTCAGCTGTTACTGATAATGAAATTGCTATTCCTACGATGACTCTACCAATGATAAGCATAATAAAATTGATACTTAAGAAAAGGATGACAGATCCTGTGATGAAGAATCCACATGATATTATGATGCCTGCTTTTCTACCAAAACTGTCCACAACATTTCCTAAAGATAACAAACAATTTATCTTCAATTGAATTGAATAAAAATTATAAATAATCCCTTGTCAAATTATTAGACACACTATAAGATTCTATGTAAAATCTTAATTATCAGGAGATACTATAAAGCTTTATTGCTTTTAAAGCTTTTTATGCGGCTGAAACCGGTTTGCACTTATTTAAGTTCGTGTATCAGTTGGTTAGCATTGTAATGAAATACGTTAAAAATAAATACAAATAGGAAGTATATAAAAATTGTTCCGAATAAAAGCCCATTACATGTACATTTAAATAGAAAAGTATCGCATATAAACTCGCGCAAAACATGTCATTATTAAAAGACTACAGTGCGTCTAATAATTTGGCCCAAATATTATAATACTAGTATGCTGCGCTCCCTGCTCGCTAACGCTCGCCAACCTCCGAAAATTGCTACGCAATCTTATATGGTTTGCTTCGCAAATCAAGCTCGCTTCGCTTGCTACTAACTTAGGTACATTGCAAATGCACAAAATTCTAAGAATTCAAAACAATCATTCAACTTTTATAAAAACTTTTCTGTAAAAACTTTTTTTTTTAAAAAAATTACATCTTTTTAGTAAATACTAAGTCATTAAAATAAATTTGAATTCAAATAAATGGCATGTAATTCATTAAACCTATTAGAAATGTGCTATAGTATAATTCGTGAGAAAAATCAAAAATCGTCAAATAAATTCGTAATATATCAATTTGTGAAAAAAAGCGCTTTCGACAAAATGCTAAAATAGAGATCTATCGGCAAAGACTACTCACTTCTGCCTAGCTTAATAGTATGAGATTGCCGCAGCTGATGCTCTCTGGTTATTTCAGTTTCCGTTTTTAAAAGCGCTATATGTTGAGCCACCTCAGCTAGATTTGGCATGTGACATTTTTAGCGGCAATCATGGGTCGATTCGCCGTGTAAGAGAAATAGTAACGTAAACAAAACAAAGCAAACGTTGCCACCGGCGGAAAAGAAATACAGCCAAAATTTGGGAGCCAAGTAAGAGAATTATATATATTAGATACTAATATAATACCTGATATAATAAATATTCTATATTTATATAATATATCGTTCAATTTATCCTATCGTCGAATTTCTATTATATATCGCATAATTTAACCAATTGATACACGAACGTAAGCAAGTGTAAACCGGTTTCAGTGGCATAAAAACAATAAAGCTGTATAGAACCTTATCGTGCGTGGCCAGGCACTGTAAATTACAGTTAGAAGGTAACAAAAAATGGCTACAATAACGTGGATAGCAGTTGATGTACAACTTATAGAATATTCTTTCTATTTAAATAAAACGGTTTGTTTTCTCATTGAATATTAGGATCTTCAAGAACCAATTTATGGAAAAACTCTTGGTCGTAACATGATTTGGACAATATACACGTGCAAGAAAATGCTACAGAAACATTTCATAAAAACATATGAAAACACTTAAATTAGATTAAGAATAGAAATTAAAAATACTTAATTTATTTTCTGTTAAAAAAAATAGCAAAGTTAAAAAAATAGCAATCTCGGACATTTCATTAAACTGCTGCTTCTTTCATCTAACTTGTCTATTGCTGTCAAGATATTATCACGTAATCATCCTAGAGCCGTAGTGGCGCAGGAGATAGAGCGCTCGCCTCCCAATGAGATGAGCCGAGATTGAATTCCCGCCAACGGCCGATTGATTGGAATTCCGCAAGCTGTTCGCACCAACCACAGCAAGCTGTTCGCACAAATATCCTCAGTGGTAGACGGATCATCGGTTAGTAGAGTCCCCTCGCCGTCTGGCTCACTGTGGGAGTTTTTCGTGATTTTCCTCTCTGTGAAAAGCAAATGCGGGTTAGTTCCATCAAGAAGTCCTCCACGAAGACAAATTTCACCCAGTACGTGATCCAGGAGTTCTCTGGTCTTCTGGATTGGGTTCAAAATTACAAGGCTACGGAGTTGAACATTGGTAGTCGTAAATCACGGCTTATTGATTTAGCTGTTATGGTTTGATTTTTACTTGAATTTTCTCTTAAAATGTTTTTTGTGCCTTAATTTCATGCTTTGTCAATCACTGCCCCTATGTGATTCCTCATTTTGAAAATTTTAATCACTTGCGTTCCTAGAGTTTTTATATATNTTAATCACTTGTGTTTCTAGAGTTTATATATATATATATATGTCTTTTTTGTTTAAAAAAAATTCCTGGAATTTGATACCTTTAGTAGTGCTGTGCCTGCTGTAATTATATTCTGAGTTACGAACATCCTATATTTTCCATGTGAAATCGATTCCCTTTATTAACTATGCACCCCTACTGAAGATGCGACATCAATATCTCTTCTGATTGTTACTGCTTATTTTCTTTGTAATGTTTGTTTAGTTTATTTCTAAGTAGCACTGTTTTCAGAATTTCATATTTAATTTTCTACCTATTTGTCAAAAATCTAATTTGAAAATTTTGAATATGTTTGCTTATGTAATTGAACTGTTGCGCTCATTTCGAACTTTCGAAGTGTCCCCGGGACGGGGTTAAGCTTGTTATTGGTAGTCGTAAACCCTGTTCAACAATGATTGTAAAATAAACTAAAAGCAATCATCTCATTTAAACTAACGCACAAATCAAGCTCAGAAATGGACATTTTATAGTTTTGGTTCTCTAGACAAGAAACGGATTCCAAATGACATTTGAAAAGAAGGTGGTTTAATCAAACAGGATATAGTTACATGATAAAAAGGAAAGGTGAACAGATGTAAGGAAGTTATCTAGCAAAATATTTCTGACTTAGAATGCATAGTGAAAGGGTACTAAAAAGATCCTTAAATAAATAATTAGAATTTTCAAAATATGGAGAGATTCCTAGAAATCGAAATTGGTAGAGCAACGTTAAATGATTTTAGTTGAAGAAAACCTTTGATTAGAAGTTCGTTGGTCGAGGGAAAATTGTTTATATATTTTCCATAGTAAGTCGAAGTTTGTCTAATATACGATCCCTGAAATTTGTCCCAGCTATTAATAGGGAGGTTGGTAAATTGCAGTATATGGGGGAGGACACAAATTTATCTTATTTTATAACCGTCGTAAAGCAGCCGATCCAAATTTGGTTTTACGACAGCTAGAGTTCAACTTCGTAGCCTTGTAATTTTGAACCCTAGTCCTCCTGGGTCAAGTATTGGGAGAAATTTCGCGGAGGACTTTTTGATGGAACTAACCCGCTTTACATGGAGACCACGAGAACCTCTCACGGTTATCCTGACGGGACCCATGATCCGTCTACCACTGAGGATATTTCACGTCAGCACTGAGGTCGTTGCAAGCCTGAATTCGTATCGCTGGGATTCAAAACCAATATTTTTTAATTGACTCAATTATTCTCAATACTGTAATTTTTAAAATACCTAACATTCGTCTCTTATTTTGTTTTGTTCATTTTTTCTCCGAAATCAATTTTTTTAATTCAATTATGTAAAACGAGAAATCTAGAGAACTAAAAACGATAACTTAATCATATTTGAAATATTTATAAAATAGCTATTATCTATAGTTTGAGTTCTGTAATTTAAAAATTTTCTTTTAGCTCCAACGTAAGTTTTTTTAAATAATAGCAAAAATATGCAATTTTAAAAAATTAAAAATGCTGCAAACAAATTAAAGTTATTATAGCCTTAATAAAAATAGATATTAATCTCTGCATGTTGAAGAATTAGTTAGCATCAAAATCTAAAATCGTCACTTTTTTTCTAAAAATGTTTCACAAAAGATTTACATACTCAGTAACACTAGGAAGACTAAAACTCAGAATATACCTATATTGCCCAAAAGCAGTGGATTGAGAAAGAATAACTAATGTATATAACTAAGAAATGTATTCAAAATAAATTTTTAATGTTTTTTCAATAATATTTACATGTATATAATAAGTTATTAGTAAATATTAAGAGTAGAAAAATTATATGTTGTACAAAAAGTTACAAAATTCTAAGAAATTGTGTCATTCTATACATCATTGTTTTTCTAATTGAAATTAAAAAGGACTTCTTTAGGCAATATAGTGCAATAAAAATGATTTGACGCGTTCACACAGTAAAAAGCAATAATCTTACCTCCAAAAAATGAAGCACAAAAAGCTCCAATTAGAACACCACAAACTACAAGTTCTTGTTCAAAATATGATAATGTGAATGTTTCTTTAAGTTGCAGTAGAGCTCCAGATATAATACCTAAAAAAAGAATTCTATTTTTAGGCTGATCTTAGGCGATATAAATTAGGGCACTTTAACAGCAGATATTGATATACATTCATTACTTATGCAATATACTTTTCTGTTACAACACCAGAATATTTTTTTTCACTCAATTTTAGAGTTATCTTAAACAATAAATATCCTTCATTTCACGTGTGAGAAAATAACACATAGTTACAGAAATATTTTATAAAAATATAAGAAAATACTTGAAAAATTACATTAAGGAAGGATTTAGTAGTTCTTAATTTATTTTCTGTTAAAATAATAGTGTGATTTCTTTACATTTTCTGGACAATTGCTCTTTTTTCTTTTTTTTTAGTTGAAATCTTTTACATAACTTACATAAAGAAAATGTCCAGCCTGACTCTTAAAAAAATTGATTCTTAAAAACTTTTGGATTCAATTTTTGAAAGGCTTCAAATTGTTTGGGCAACATGAAAGCAATCAACATATAATTGTTTTCAAAATATTGTTTAGTAGAAAATATCAAAATAAATATGTAGTAAAAAAAAAGGCTCGAGAAACATCAATGAAGTTTATAAATTAAATATAAGTTAGATTAATATTGTAAAGATTTTAAGTGCCGTTTTTATTTGTTCAGCTTGTAGTAACTAAGAAAAGGATTCCAAAGAAAACGATTCTAAAAATTTTATCATTATTTATTCAGATTGTAATAACTATTTTACATCAAAAAACTTTACTTTGCATAAGAAAGGAATTCTAAAAATTTTAACATTATTTGTTCAACTTGTAGTAATTATTTTAAGTAAACGACTTTATTTTGCATAAAAACAGATCCCTGTGGATAATCATTGCAATTACAGACATGGTTAGTTCGAAGACATGCGCACGAGCACTTTACGATAGAACGTCGCAGACAGATCAAAGTGGCAACCCAACCGCACACCGGCCGATCTACTGAGAATCAATCCACTCTCATATTCATATTGTATGAATAGATTTTTTATGTGTAGTATGTACAGTCGGCAAAAAAAAAGGATATTACCCTGAATAACTTTCGTTCTAATGATCAGATTTTCACAAACTAAGTGTCAATCTTAACGGTTCTTGGGGCCGATGTATAATATTCTAATTAATTAATGCTAATTATTAATTTAATTAAGTTACGAAATTAGACACATAAACATATTAAAATATTGAGAAAATACGGAAAATAATAAAAAAAAATAATATCAAGAGAATTGTTTTTCAAAAAGTATTTAAAAAAATATTTTTTATTTATCTAAGCAAAAAATATTATAAAAAATCCGTGAAACAAAATAAAGAAAAGATATAATCTCTTCATCAGCTCACACGATTATATCCGCAAAAGGAGTGCTTTCTAATATTGTATCGATAAAGCCAAAGCAAAATATATCAATACAATAACGTGAGGAGCACTCAAAAGATTGAAACGAAAATAGAGCACATTAAGTAAGAAATAAATACGAAATAAAGCATATCAAGCAAAACACAGAAAATAAAATGTAAAGAAATTACAGAACAAAACACGAAAGGAAATCTATATAGTGAGGAGCGAATTAAAATGAACTTACGCGTAATTTAAAATATTTTCGTAATAAGATTGCAAGATTATAAAATATGAAAGCAGAGACATAAATAAAGTGATTTCTTATAGCACATTCTTAATACAACACTGAAGTGCGTTTAATTTGTTAGTTAGCTTGGATGCTCCCGAAAATGGATGTGCGCAATGTAATAATATTATACTTGACAATTTTAAGTTTATAATTAATAAGGTTGACAATTTGCAATCACTCACAACGACAATACAATCACTCACACTTTTGTATTGATATATTTTGTTTTGGCTTTATTGATATAATATTAGAAAGCACTCCTTTTAGAGGATATAATCGTGAGAGCTGATGAAGAGATTACATATATATATTTATTTTTTTTTGGTTTTACGGATTAATATTTTTTTTTCTTTTTTCTTTCTTTTGCAGATTGTACAGGGTGCTTCAATGCTTCAAATAAACGAGGCCAAAGCAAAGTATCAAAAAAATATATATATTATTTGCACACAAGTACTACTACAGGATATTTGAGGTATCCTTTTGAAATGTGTGCAGAATGGATTAGTGTCCCCTCACTAGAGGACAGGTTGATTTCGGCCAAATTACATTGAAGCATCCTATAGAAACAAAATGATCCATGCCTATATCATAGCCAAAAAGAATTCCTCCAATAGAAGCGATGACGGCAGAAAACACTACTAACGAGTTGTTTTTTTCAACAGCACCTATAGAAATAAAAGAAAAATATTAAAAGACAATAATAATTAATTATTAGTCCATCAATCTGTGTTTTTGGTTTAAAAAAATATTTTTTCTTAATTGCAGCTTCTTTTTTGTTCAATGAGTGTTGTCCTTATAAATAATTTCTAAACTAATAATTTTGAATACAATTCATTTCCCAGAAATGTTTAGTTTAAATAAATATTTTCTTTCTTAAATCTCTTCAAAGAGATTAGAATTCAAAGAGAATAGAATCCCTTCTATTATCCTTAGCCCTGGTTTTCACCAACATTTTCAGGATGATTATTGTAAAGTGTAGAATATTAGGGGTCTGGTTCATTTCATCGACAATCACTTCATCGACAGACAATTTCATCGACAGACCATTTCATCGACTAGGTCATTTCGTCCACATGGTCATTTCCTCGACAGAGTCATTTCGTCGATAAGGTCATTTCGTCCACATTGTCATTCCGTCGACAGCGTCATTTCATTGACAGGGTCATATCTTTGCCAAGGTTATTACGTCGACAGGGTCATTTCATAGACAGGGTCATTTCGTCGACATTGTCATTTCATCGACAAAGTCATGCGTAATTCTGAAACTATTTTAGAGATTTAATCTAAATATTTTAGTATTATTTAGGAAAATGCTATTATTTAATTTATATACCAATGTAAAAATCTTTATTGCTGTGTATTGTTTAAATTGCACTAAAAGAAGTTCGCTTTTTAAATTAATTGATAGATAGCGTTTAATCGAGAACGGTTGATGTATCAAAATCTACTTTTCTATATCTAAATCGTAACAACTCGACTCTTGTTTTCAGGATAGATAAGGAGTATCTTCAGAACATTACCGAGCATGAACATTACCAACTATAGGAACGCAAACATGATGTTTAGGTATTTATCGAGGCGGTTGTAGACTCCTACAATATTTAAAGTGCTACTCATCGGTCAAAAATTTTTAGAAGCATAGGCGTAACGTTGCAAGCGTGTTAGTGTTTGCTCTTCACAAAATATTTTTTTTCTATGGATAGTGAATTTAATAATAGTATTAATTATTAAATTCTAATATATTATTAAATTATACTATTATTATTCCAATTAAATAATAATATTAAAATTTTATAATAATAATAATAGTAAATAAATGATGAATTATTTCCTTTTTATTTGCAGGATTTAAATTAGACACATTTTGTTTAAGAGAACATTAAAAAAAATCAAACCTGGAATTTAAACATAAGAAAAAACAACTATTACTCAACAAAAAAGAAAAGAAAAATCTTGCAATTAAAATTTGACCACTTTTTAACTAGTTTAAGTGCTTAAATTTTTAACTGATTTTCTGTACAAGATGAAAATACGATTTTCAAACGCTTTCTGACCACTATTAGCAGAATATATCGCTAATCAAAATTTTGATTATTTTCGGCCTGAACAAGCCAGGAGACTCAAAACTAAAATGTAGAAAAAAAAAGAAAAAAAATGCATATACATATTCAAAATATTAAGTTTGTTCAGTAGACTAAAAATAAGAAAAAAATTTATAAAAATTTTCACGCATAACAAAAACCACAAGGACAAAATTTTACAATAAACTTCTATCAACATTTACATTTCCACTTTTTTCGTTTTGGTGACAAAAATTAACATTTCTTTTTCAGTAAACTTATCAAACATGATGTTTAAAAACAGTTCCGATTACACTTTTTAAAGGACTTTCCTTAGTGCTCGCCTTTAAAATATATACTCTCATTACAAATTTTATTAATTTAAATAAATTTTCATTCTCTGGCAAATCGAAAAGAACAACATTTTAATATTTGGGAAAAAAATAAGTTTGCTAAACTTATTTTTACTTAAACATTAATGAGAATAAAATCAGATGCATATGGACAACCCTCCTCAATGATAAAGTCAATTTATTTGTTATATTGTAATTAGTTTTAAATCATAAAATCCAATTCGACAGGTTTCCTCCCTTTTGGAACCTTTTTTACATGACCATTTCGATTGCATCGCATACCGAGGATGTGGAGTCATTTTGAGTTTTTCTGTTTTTTTTTTAAAAAAAAGGAAATTAACGATGTCTATTTTATAAGGTAAACGAACTTATAAATGTTTGGGGAGCATATAGAATAAAATACATATTAAATTATTAAATATTAAAACGCTATAAATTAATTAAATAAGAAATAAAATATACTGGAAATGTGAGAACAAGTTTTTTGTTTCAAATAATATTTCATTTAAATTTTACAAAAGTAAATTTCACAAGAATTGTCAGAAACTTCCCTCTTCATCAGTATAGTTGACAAAGACATGAGGAAGAGGGTTAGAACAAATTTTTTTATCTACAATATTTCCCAATATGTTTTCCAAATTGGATTTTCATCTTATTTTTTCCCACATGCATTTTTTTTTCAAGATTTTTATAATACTAGGAAGTTCCACCCCTTGCTCACTTCGCTCACCAACCTTCGTAATAGCCACTCATACATCTTAGTTTGTTTTTCCTTATATCGATATTTTTTTAAAGAGAAAATATATAAATATTGAAATTTTATGTGAGAAAATTTTGTTAATATGCCAATAGTAACAAAATAAATGATTACTTGCATATGAAAAAAAATTAACTGAGCTTGAAAAAATAAATATATAAACACGGGGAATATACAAATTTTTGATAAAACAAGAAGTAATTTTACTAGCTAACTATCTAAAAGATTTGTGTTTCTCTGATTAAATTCTTTGTAATCAAACCATTGTTATCATTGCAAAAGTTTGTTCCTTTTCTTTTTTTGACAAGATTTTAAACTGTATTAATACGTATTACTCATTGCAGGGAGCATTATATAAGTATAGTTTTTTTTATCGACAGAGAACTCTTGCAGCTGAAATGGCCTGTTAACTGAAAGACCTTGTTAATGAAATGACCTATCGACCACGCGGTTTCATTATCTCACAGATTCATTATATACTGTCTTTCTTTCCTTACTAATTTCATCTTTCATTCACTCCTTACATCAAGAATCATTCACAATAGTTATTGCAATTGCTTTTGCGATGCTAATCTATAATAATGTACATTAAAAACTAATCTTAGAAATAAATGTGTTAAATACGACTAGAAAAAAAATGCGTAATATACAACTTAAATGCGTAAAATGTGTAATATACAACTTAAATGCCTAAAATGCAGTTACAACACAAAATATAAAAAAAGTTTTTCCAACGTGATGTGAATAGAGGAATAGGCAATTTTCAAATAAAATGCTTCTTTTCTGGCAACTTCAGCATACTATTAAGATTTTGCATCAGGCTAGGCTTAAAAAATTTTAATACAAATGTACTACATTACAAAGAAGTGCAAGGACATGACGTCCAATGTAAAAAATCATAAAACTAGTTTCAAAATTACGCATGACTTTGCGTACGAAATAACCTTTTCTACAACTGTCGACTAAATGACCCTATCGACGAAATGACTTTGTCGAACAAATGACCCTGTCGATGAAATGACCACGTCGACGAAATGATCCTGTTGAAGAAATGATCACGTCGACGAAATGATCCTGTCGACGAAATGACCCTGTCAACGAAATAACTTGTCGAAGAAATGACCCTGTAAAGGAAAAGACCCTGTCGACGAAATGACCCTGTAAATGAAAAGACCCTGTCGACGAAATGACCCTGTAAATGAAAAGAC